AGTGTTCACCTCTGTCCTCGCAGCAAAATAGCTAGACAGCAGTCCCTGTCTGATGGGCATGCCTACTACCCCAAGGCTGACCCTGTCAGGCACCCCGCAGCCTTCTCTAGCATGTACTGTTCCCACTAACATGAGTGTGCTCATCTGAGATAACTCATCGTGGAATCTATCATTTGTTGATATGACAACAGTGTCCTGATCATGCCTAGGAGTCCTTAGGCCTCTACTATGTTATCCCAGCTTCTGCTCCAGGTGCAGGGTACCAGGACTGTCCTGCTGGAATCAGGAAGACTTCGCTCAAGGAGGTAAAAAGGTAGTGATGATGCTCATAGGCAATGCCTGTCAATCAAGTCCTTGTACTAACTGGAACAACTCTTTCTATACACTCAAGTCTTCCCCATTCTAAGGGCACAAAGACACAGAGAGGGAGGAACTAGGCCAGAGACCATAGGTGACCCCAACAGCCAGCTGGGTCTGACCCTAGGCTCTGGCCACTATGCCAAGTTACCTGGAAAACTTGACATCCTTAGTCTTTGCTTTGGGACTCACTCACATGTGCAACACATATAGACAAGCAGAACATGCAAATTCTGACAGGGGGAGAAAGAAAAGAAAAGCTCCAACATTAAGGATACTACAGTGATGATATCGTGAAGACCAGAGGACAGTGCCCTTTACAGGCCAGGCCTAAAGCCCAGTAGTAGGCATGAGACTTGGGAGGTGGGAGCAACCCAGGAACCCAGACAGACCACGGCTCGGGGAGCCTCGTCAAAGATGTGGCAACAAAGGTTTCTAAGGCTAGAATCTAAGGAAAAATTATTGTTGGAGAAAACAGTGGGACAAACAGAATAAAGGTAGGGACTCTGACAAGATCCCCGAGTCTACTTCTTACCCCACATCTACAAGGTACGGTGCTGGGGAAGTCTGGTACTGAGCAAAGACTGTTCTAGAACCACAGATGTGGAAAGCAAGAGGAGCCTCATGTGTAAGGGAGGAGAGCAGAGCTTTAGGAAGCTGGACACGGAGGATTAGCATGATCAGTTGCTACACTCTGGAGCAGCGGCTTTAAAAAGAGGAATGACTGGGGAGGAGGCCAGCTTCCAGAGTCCATTCACAAGGGTTGGCCCCTAGGACCAGCTCCAGCACAAACTGCTCTTCAGAGCCACTATGCCCCATGAAGAAAGACTGGGTGTGTGGCCTAGATGCTCTAAGGTTGTGTCAGATGAGAGGGGGCCACTAACTTCTTCAGCTGGAGCTCTTCTCCAAGAAGTAAGGCCCTCAAGGGCCCCATGCCTTGCCAACACATGGGCTTGGCCTCCCTCTCTTGTCTGCAAGGAATCAGCTCCTAAGACTGACTGATGACCCTGGAGTTTGGAGGGGGAGATGGCTATGAGGAGGTATGAGCAGTATGAGAGGAAGTATCTGAGGGGCCCGGCAACTAAGCGTCCATGACGGGCTAGTGTCCCTGTCCGGCCTCCTGATGCTGACTCATGAAGGATGAAGCTCCTGGAGGAATGCATGAACTGTTCTTGACCTCAAGGTTTCTGGTCTAGTTTAGGTGGGAGGGTCTTCATTCCTCAAGGGGAGGTGCTGTTGACTCTCTACACCAAAGAAGAAACTGACCTCAGAAGGTCTTTACGGAAAGCTCCTGGGCAGAACGAGAAGAGCGGACTAGACTCTAGGGCCACTAGCAAGGCAGTCCTCCCCGAGGTTCTTCTGCCCAGCTCCTATATGCCAGACCCATGACTGAGGCTGATGGGGCTGGAAGATGGGTATGCCGACAGCTGGGGAACCACTGGGCTGCAAGCTAGAAGAAATCTTCTTAGGCAGCTATAGAAGATAAGTGAATAGGAAGCAGAGTCCCAAGAGATGAGGAAGATCGACCCAAGCGAGGCTACAAACATGGGGGGCCCTAACACCATTCAACCCCTTCCTGCCATGTAGAAAGCAGCTCCAGTTTCCAAGCCCACCTCTCCTTTGTTCATCCTAACAGCCCCTGAGGACTGGGCCGACAGACAAGACTGGGGTCAGCAGAGAGCTTTTTGGACCTCCATATACTGCTTGTTTTTCCAATAGCTTAGCCACAAAAGATACACCTCCCCACCCATCCCCATCGTTACCAACACCAAGCAAGCCTGCTCCACTGACACAGGTACTCAGAAAGATGAACACTAGACTTGTCTATGAAAGGATGCTTAAGTTCATGGCCTCCTGGCACTGCCCTCAGTCTGGCCTGTGACCCTCTTGGCCCTACCTGCCAGAGTTCCCTAGAGATATGGTCACGACCTGTGGCCTGGCATTAGTGATGCTCAGTCTGGTAAACCTCCAAGTTCACTCCCTTCTCTGGACTCTGGAATGGGTGCTCACCACAAGGATAGAACAGGCAGAGGACCTACTCCACCAGAAGCCCAGAGGAACATAGGAATCCTACTGGGCATGCCCAGAAGTGCCCAGTTACCATTACTTACCCTCTGCCTTGAAATGTGACTTAACTCACACTCCTCCTTCCCAACCTACATTCTCTAAGCCCAATTGGCCTTCTCCTGTCCTCCAGGAAGGTCCTCAACCCCAGGTGGCCATCCTAGACATACTCTTAGTTTGTCTTGATGCCCACCTACCCAGAGCCACCTCCCCTTCCAAACTTCAGAAGAGAGCGGGAAGACAGGCCACCCCAGAGCTTAGCAGGTCCCAGGCTAAGCATTGCTTTATCTGAGCTGAAGTCCGGGAAGTAACAACCAGGATGGAGAAAGGACGGAGCAGCCTCTTCTCCTTAAAGACCTCAGTCCCCAGAGCCCTTCTGACCCGCACTCGCTTCTCCTCCACACTGTGAAGTGCCACAGTCTCATACTCATACCCTGCACGTGCTAAGCCCAGGTAGAAGGGCAGCAGGAGAGTTGTGGCTGTGCTTTCACCTGTGAAGTTGTGCTAGCCCCTCAAACCTCCAGAGTCCAGAAGGCTGGCCTTCAATCCTGCCTCCTGCTCCCTAAGAGTCCTAATCCCAGAGGTACCGGCCCCTGATTCCAGGAGTGGACACCACTGGGTTCTAGGAAACTCTTAGCAGGACACTAGAGGAAACTATGGATTCAGGACATTTGGGAAGGAGTGCTTCCTTAGGGAGCATGGCAGGAAAGGTGGTCAGCTGGCCACAGGGCTACCCATAAAGCCTGATATTCTTGTTCTGTCTATGAGAAATGCCCCTCCCTCATTCCAGCTCTAGAACTGGGTTCTTAAGCCAAGACCAGCATAGCATGCCCAACCATCTGTGGAGTAGGGATACCTAAAGACACAAGACACACCAGCTGGTGATTCCCTGGTCTTTCTTCAGGCTCAACTGGCAACCCCAGTTTCCTGGCACTGGATGGGGGAGTCAAAGGGCCCTCAGATGTAAGACTGGGCCCTGCCCGTGCAGCTTAGGCACATCAGACAACCTGCCACTACCCCCAGCTTTCGGGCCCCCAGACCCTCAGCCAGCACTCACCAGGCGTTCAGACATGGGAGTCTTGTCCCCATCAGGAAGGTGCTGCTCCAGGGCCAGAACAATGCAGTTGGCGATGATGGTGGCCAGGATCATGTATTCGAAGGGCGTGTGTGGGTTAAGGACTGGCTAGGAGGCGCTACGGAGGTAGTGAAGATGAGGACAGCGCAGTGCAGTAGCCAGGGCTGAGTACTGCTGGCCGACACCCACCTTCCCCGCTTCAAGGCTAGTCTTCTCAGCTCCCCGCCCTACTTCTGGGGGCAGCCAAGAGGCGGGGCCTCTGCAGTTGCCCAGCCCCTCCGCTAGTTCCGACGCCGTCAGCACCACGGACAGCTGCTTTGCCTAGCCCGCCAGCGCCACAGGGGAACCCTCCTGTAGCCCCCCAGAGCAGCAGAAGCGGACCCTGCGCAGGCGCACACCCTACCTAAAGACACAGCCACAAGTATCTACACCCGCACGTGAACATAATGTACCACGAATGCCGAACACACGCACGCACGCGCAGCACCGGCTCATGCGATGCCCGCACACAAACGCAGGCACCTGCAGTCAGCACGCGCACGGGACCTGCATCCACTCAGTCCTCACACCTGCAAGCCTCAGATTCGCCCTCCCGTGTCCTCCAGGCCGGCCGCATGCTGCGTGACCCAACCTGGCTCCCCAAGACCAAGTGCACGAAGAGACAAGCCCCAGGTCAGAAGGGGCTCCGCCCAGCGTGCACCCGGTCCGTCGTGGCCTCCACGACCACACACGCGCACACCCAAACCACGCACACACGCACTCGGAGACCGCCCCAGAGGCTCCGCCCCGCTCCTCCTCGCCGGGCCGTGGGGTCCGCGACGCGCCTCTCCCGGGTCGCACCCCCTCCCAGCACCAGAAAGATGGCCACTGGGCGCCTCCGCCCAGGCCCCAGCCGCCCCTCCCGGACCCGCCGCGCGGACACCGACGTCGCCCCTGCCCCTGACCTCCGCCGCCGGTCCCCGCCCGGCCAGGCCCCCGTAGGATATGGCCACTCGGTGATGCGCTTAGCGTATTTGCGGACGACGTTGTCCTCGCTGAAGACGAAGAGCGAGCGGTTGACGGTGAAGCAGTTCTGCTTGACTGGGATGGGGTTGTACAGGGCCATGGTCCGTGCGCGCTGCGCGATGGACTGCTTGTACAGGACCCGCTGGCCCGGCGGCAGACCTCCCTGGCCCGGGCCACCCGCCCCGCCGGCCCCGCCGCCCCGAGCCCGCTCCCCGCCGCCGGTGCCCCCATAGCGGCCACTCAGCTCGTCCCCGAAGCGGACCATGGCTCCTGGGCGCCGCGAGCATCCCCGGCTCCGCGGCCCGGCACCGAGGGCGCGGCGCGCCAGGGGCTCCTAGCCGAGCCGCCGCGAGCCGCCTGGACCTCGCCCGCCAGCTGCTACCGCACCCGAGCCGCGGCCCTACGCCACGCCCTATAAGGGGTCGGTCACGCGGCCGCGCCTAGCCAATCCGCGTCGGTCCCACCCCCGGACCCTCCAGACCCCGCCCCCGCGGCCGCCCCCGCCGGAGTCCGCGGCGGTCCTCGGGGAACGCCGAGCTGCGTGTCCCCAGCTCGAGGCAGCGTGAGCCTTTGCGTGCCCCCGGGGCGCCGCCCAAAGCCTTCGCTGCCTCTGGCTCCCCAGCTCAGCAGCCTGAGAGGTCCCCGGGTGCCCTCGCGCTCCTCCTCGAACCCGAAGAGACCCTCCCCCGTGGGGAGATGTCCGTGGCATCCAGAAGCGGCAGCCTAGCTTCTCATTGGCGTCCACACCCCTGTCCTGCGGAGGCCATGTCGTCAGCCACTCCCTCTCGCTGCTGGCCATCGGATGCTGAGGCTATCGTCGCCCCTCCATTTTTTGATATCCTTACATGCCCTACTTTGAAATCCCTGGCCCCTGAAGGTTTCGCAATGGACCCTGTCAAGAGTTCCATCTGCGGTTTTTCATATACCGGACTCTGAGACGCTCCACGATCTCAGTTCAGACAGTCCTTGTTCTGCCATTCATTCTATAAACATTCAGACAGAGCCTTCCTGGTGCACCTGTTTGCCACGCCCAGGATCCACCTTCACCGAGCTGACATTTTTCTACCAAAGATAGAAACATCTATATAGCACTTAATAGGTGATAGCAGACGCGGTGAGTACACAGGCTGGCTTGTGGGTCTTAACAGCGTTGGGATTAACCCCTTCCCAAATCACACTTGAGTGGCAGAGGAAGAGAAAGGGTCCTCTTCACCCTTGCAGAAAATAAACAAAGGCGGGTCACAGAGCCACAGCCCTGTGGAAGAGTGGAAGGTGGGGGTCTCTCTGCCCTGCTATTGCTTGGATCTGAGATGTTGCCCCAAATCTCGTGTGTTGAGCTTGGTCCCCATTGCAGCAGTAATCAGAAGCGAGAGCTTTGGGATCACGAGAGGGCTCTGACCTCATGAATGGATTAATCTGTTGATGGATTCATAAATTGATGGGCTGCTGGGAGGCTGTGAAAAGCAGAGGTGGGACCTAGCTGAAGGGAGTGGACCGTTGAGGGGCATGCTGCGGGGTGGGGGTGGAGAGCCGTATGGGTCTACAGTCCTTTCTGTGTGTCTCATTCTTCTATCTCCCTCCCTCCCTCCTCTCTACTTCACCTTTTCTGGCATGATACAGGTTCAAACAGTGGTGCCACAGAAACCATGGACTGAAACCTCTGAAACTGTGAGCAATAATACACCCTTCCTCCTTTAAGTTGCTCTTAGTGAATGAAAGCTGATCCACACGTGCCTCCAGAGTGCTCCTGGGAGGTGAGGCGTGCAAAACCAGACCTAGCAGAGGACACAGCCAGGGCAGTCCACCGCTGGAAGTGGGATGCTCTCCTTGTTGGCATCTGACACATTCCAAAGGATCTCACTGGCTGCACAAGAACATAGACGGCAGGGCACAGTACATGGTGGCTTAGGAAGCAGAGGCAGGCAGCAGCTTATAAGAAACAGTTTTAAGTTCACGTAATGAAAAGTTGGCTCTAGGACCATTGTCTTCATCCCCCTTCTTTCCAAGATCACTGTATACTCCCTTTGTCTTCACGTTTGTTACCTTGTGACTCAAAGGCTGCTGTGCTGTTACATCTTTACCATATCAAGCAAGGGAAGGAAGGTATAAAAGAACCTATTTTTAAAATCAGTTTATTATATCCTTCTATAATGAAGGAAAGATTTTGTTCAGAACTCTTAAACTTTTGATTTTTTTTTACTTTAAAACATTTATTTACTTTAAGATTTATTTTTCATGGCCTGTGGAGATAGCTCCATGGGTAAGAGCACTGGCTGTTCTTCTAGAGGATGGGGGTTGAATTCCCAGCACCTACATGGCAGCTCATGCTGTCTATAACTCCAGTCACAGGGGATCCAATGCCTTCTAGCCTCCAAGGGCACTGAATGAAAATGGTACAACAAACAAACATTCAGACAAATACTCATACAATGAAATAAAAAATAAAATCTCAACAAATTAAAATTTTAAAATATTTTTGAGGTTGGATGTGATGGACACATCCTTTAATCTAGACACTCAGTTGGCAGAGGCAGGTTTGTCTTTGTGAGTTTAAGTCCAGCCTCATCTGTGTTCAAGTTCAACCTTGTCTACACAGCAAGTTCCAAACCAACCAGACCTACATAGTGAGACTCTGTCCAAAAAATAATAATAATTTTGTTTTTAATTATATGTGTAACACTGTCTGCATATGGGTACGTGTGGATCTTATGGCCCTGGATCTAGACAGGCAGTTATAAACAATCTACTGTGGGTATTCCACTGTGGGTATTTGCCAGTCCATTTATTTACTTCCCCACATCACCAATTTCCTATCTCTCCAGGAAAGCTAAACACCACTGAGTAGCTGGCATTGTTGGTGTTGTATAATAGTTTCCTCCAGATTGAAACATTCTTTCCTTCAGAGAAGTGTGGTCGGACTTTTTGTCAGGCCATTGGCTCCCCAGTAATGACAAGGAGACTTATTGTTAATTATGAAACATTGGCCAATAGCTTAGGCTTGCTTTCAGCTAGCTCTTATAACTTAAATTAACCCATTTCTATTAATCTATGTGGTGCCCCAAGGCTTGTTTACCTCATCTATGTACTGTCTATCCTGCATTCCTGCCTCCTCAATGTCTACCCTATCCTCTGTGCCTGGAAATCCTGCCTAGCTATTGGCCATTCAACTTTTTTATTAAACTAATCCAAGTGACACATCTTCACAGTGTACAAAAAGATTATCCCACAATATTTCCCTCCTTTTGTCTAAGTAAAAAAGGAAATGTTTTAACTCTAACACAATAAAACTATATAGGTACATGGATTTTTCTTTGGGCAGCCAGCTCCAAAATAATGACATGGAGATTTCTTGTTAATTATAGCTCAGTCTTAATTTAGGTTTGTTTCTAATTAGTTCTTAGAACTTAAATTAACCCATATTTTTTAAATCTACGTTCACTTGTGTGGCTCAATACCTCATCTCTCTGTACTGCCCATCTTGCTTCCTCTGAGCTGACTGGCAACTCTGCCTTTCTTCTTCGCAGAGTCCTCTCTGTTCCTGAAAGTCCCATCTAACCTCTTTCTGCCTAGCTATTGGCCATTCAGCTCTTTATTAAACCAATCAGAAGGCACCTTGGCAAAAGACACATCTTCACTGTGTAAACAAATATTCCTCAACATTAAAACAGAAGTTTTTTTGTTTGTTTGTTTGGGTTTTTTTAGTTTTGTTTCTGTTGTTTTTGGATTTTTTGAGACAGGGTTTCTCCGTGTAGTTTTGGTGCCTGTCCTGGATCTCACTCTGTAGACCAGGCTGGCCTCAAACTCACAGAGATCTGCCTGCCTCTGCCTCCCAAGTGCTGATATTAAAGGTGGGCATCACCACTGTCCGGCAAGAGAAGATTCTATTAACTAGATAGAATATAAGATAGGTTTACAAAAAATTTAGCCACAGAAAATACAAATCAATTGTAAACACTTGATAATTTTCAAAAATTTTTGGGAGATATTAACTGGCTACAGCCCACAATTGGATTGCAACTCAAGAACTAAGTAATTTATTTCAAACCTTACAAGGTGATAAGGACTTAAATAATCCAAGAAAATTATCAGCTGAGGTTGAGAAAAAATTGGCATTGGTAGAAAAGAAATTACAGGATGCACATGTGGATCAGTTGGATCTAGAGCTTGATTGTATTCTGGTTATTTTATCTTCTACACATTTTCCTACAGGAATTCTTAGCAGAGAGAAGATAATGTTCTGGAATGGATATTTTTGTCACACAAACAGTAAAAAATTACAGACCTATGTAGAAAAGGTTTCTGAATTGACTCTGAAAGGAAAATTAAGGTTATGTTGATTAATAGGAATAGACCCAGTAGAAATTGTGGTACTTTTACTGATGCTGAAATTCACTCATTATGGACAGAAAATGAACATTGGCAAAAAGCTTGAAGTAATTTGTTAAGAGATTAGCAACAAATATCCCAAAAGCAAGAGAATTCAGTTTACAAAGAGAACTAATTTGATCCTTACATTGTATGATGAACACCGATTTCTGGAGACCCTATATTCTATACTGATGCAAATAAATCAGGAAATGTGTATTATAAGTCAGGAAATTTAAGTAAAGTGACTCAAAGTCCTTATGATTCTGTTCAAAAGTCAGAATGATATGTTATTCTCATGATATTGTTAGATTTCTCAAAACCTCTTAATATAGTTACTGACTCTCAATATGCAGAAAGAGTTGTATTATATATTTAAATAGCTGAACTTATTCCAGATGATTCAGAATTAGTTTTGTTATTCATTCAATTACAAGAAATAATCAGAAATAGAAATCATCCTTTGTATATAACACATATCAGATCCCATACGGGTCTACCACAAGGTAATGATGAAATTAATCAGATATTGGTAGGAAATGTGCTTGAAGCCTCAGAATTTCATAATAAAGCACTATGTTAATAGCAAGGGTTGAAGAAAGATTTTTCTATCACTTGACAACAAGCCAAGGAAATTATGAAGAAATGTCTTACTTGTTCTTTGTGTAACCAAACGTCACTACCTGTATGAAGTAACCCAAAGGGTTCTCAAAGAAATGAAATTTGGCAAATGGATGTGTTTCATTTTGCAGAGTTTAGAAAATTAAAATATGTATACCATACCATAGATACATATTCAGGATTTCAATGGGCAGCTGCTTGAGTTCTGAAAAGGCTGATTCTGTAATCACACATTTGTTAGAAGTTATGGTCATTATGTGGATACCTGCACAAATTAAGACTGACAAGGTTCCTGCATATGTCTCTAGTAAAATGAAACAGTTTTTTTCATGTTACAACATAAAGTATATTCCAGGTATACTACATGATCCTAAGAGCAAGCAGGTGTAGAAAGATCTAATTGAACTTTAAAAGATATACTTAATAAACAGAAAGGGGTAATAAAGATCCCCAGAGATAGATTGCACAATGCTTTATTAACTTTAAAATTTTTTTTTTTTTTTGGTTTTTCGAGACAGGGTTTCTCTGTGTAGTGTTGCGCCTTTCCTGGATCACACTTGGTAGCCCAGGCTGGCCTCGAACTCACAGAGATCCACCTGGCTCTGCCTCCCAAGTGCTGGGATTAAAGGCGTGCGCCACCACTGCCCGGCAACTTTAAAATTTTTAAATGCTAATGAGAAAGGAATGGCAGCTTCGGAGAGACATTGGACAGTAGAAAAAAACTGCTGAATTAAGTCAGCCTGTGTACTTTAAAGATGTGTTGACCTCAGAATGGAAACCAGGATATGTGCTATGTTGGGGAAGAGGTTTTGCTTTTGTTTCCACAGGAGAAGAAAAGCTATAGATACTATCAAAATTGATAAAGATTAGATTCAAACAGGAGAGCCCTCTTGATTAGAAGAGTCAATAGTTCATCAAACAGTGTGGCCATTCAAACTAAACTAACTTATAAGACTACCAAATGCCTTTCATTTGATCAGATATAACTTACCAAAAAGGGAACCTTCCCAAAATTGGGGTTGGAGCAGAGTTTTGTGTGTCTTTCCAGGAGAATGAAGCATCCAACTAAGGAATCTGAAGACCACTGGACAAATGAGACATCTGAAGAAAGAGGATGAATCATCCAGAGAAAATATCCCATGAAAAAGAGTAAATTGGCCTAATGATATAGCACATTTCCAACAGGATAAAATATTATAAACCTTCCCAAATGTTTGTTTCTGCAGTTCTCTACAGACATATAAGGCATATGGTCTTTTTATAGTCCCAGTTGAATTGAAAATTAAAGCTGGCTTTGGGGTTGGAGCATGGCTCTCTCCTTCTCTAAACCTAAACATGTCTGTTAAAGGAAAATCCAAAATCTCTGTCTCATGTGAGAAGAGCCACCTGGTAAGGGACAGAAGAAAAATCAAAATTAAAGGATTATTTTATTGCTACTAATCTCATAATCCTTTGGTTTTGACTCTTTAAAACTTTTCTTAAGGTATAAATATTATCTCAAAAATTTATAAGATTAATATATACATATATAATATGTATATATTTCTCCGGTCCCGCCAAGCCCCTACAGTCCTGTGGCCCACTTATAAAATAATCACTCAGAAGCTTATATTAATTAAACTGCCCAGCCATTAGCTCAGGCTTATTACTGACTAGCTCTTACACTTAAATGAACCCATAATTCTTATATATGTTGAGCCACACGGCTTGGTACCTTTTCTCAGTTCTGCCTTGTCATCTTGCTTCCTCTGTGTCTGGCTGGAGACTCCTGACTCAGCCTTCCTTTTCCCAGAACTCTACTAGTCTGCTTATCTCACCTATACCTCTTGCCTGGCTACTGACCAATCAACATTTTATTAAACCAGTGTACAAGAGCCTTATCCCACAACATATATATTTAAACTTTCTGTCATGTCATTAATGGTCATATAGAGTACTAACAAATTCTAGAAAAAAAGCTTCATCTAGCTTCCTGTACATGATTTCAGGCTTGAGCCTGAATCAGGTAACTAGGAATTAAGTTTGTGTACCACAGATGTACTTAACAAATTGTGATCCTTTAACCTCTCCAAGATCTGCTGCATATGACATTTAAAATGTTTAAGTTGGGGGCTGGTGAGATGGCTAAGTGCTTAAGAGCACTGGTTGTTCTTCCAGAGGTCCTGAGTTCGATTCCCAACAACTACATGGTGGCTCACAACCATCTATAATGAGATCTGATGCCCTCTTCTGGCATGCAGGCATACATGCAGACAGAACACTCATAAATAAATAAGTAAATAAATAAATAATGAAATATTTAAGTTTTCTGCAGTGAACTGTGACCATTCCTAACAGTGACTTTTGAAGTCTCCAAAAGGATGATGGAGCCCCACAATAACAATTCCACCTGGATTGTGGTAATGCCACTAAGCTGATAAACACCACCCAGAGATCAGCTTTGGACTGCAAACTGCTCAGGACAATTTCAAGGTGGCTAGCTGAGATGATCCAGCCTCATGCACTACTCCAGCCAGGACTTCAGATAAGCCCTACACTTTCCCACTACACAGAGACTGGCAACAAATGATGCAGCCAGCTCTCCCAGAACTTAACCATTACCTCAATTTTCTCAGGATCCCCTCGAGATGCCGTCGCCCTCTCAGACAACAGGAAGCAGTCTAGAGAACATGATGTCCACATTTCCAAGAGATGGGTGAGTGGTTTTTGGTCATTCAGTGGGTTATGGATATTTATCATAATTTAGGGGGATTTGTTACAAGTTGTTATTGGTAATGATTAGGGGAAAAAAAGCTGAACAAAGGAGATTAGATTTAGGATCTCATTCTGAAAAGAAAAATGAGGAAATGATAGATAAAAGAGTAGATAATTGAATCTACTTTTAAACTAAAAAAGTAACTACCAGTCTTAAATACTTTACAATGGTATAGATTTTTGTATATTGATACAAATTTAAGGTTATTTTTTTTAGAACATACTGTACATACATTTCTACTCTTTTTTTGGGGGGGAGGGCTCAAGACAGGGTTTCTCTGTGTAGTTTTGGTGTCTGTCCTGGATCTCACTCTGTAGACCAGGCTGGCCTTGAACTCACAGAGATTCGCCTGCCTCTGCCTCCCGAGTGCTGGGATTAAAGACGTGGGCCACTGCCACCTGGCTTACATCTTTACTCTTGTTTAAGGTATTGTACCTTATGCAGCTCATTTTAAAATGTAATGTAGAGTTGGAGTCCTTAAAGGCTATTATTATAAACTCTTTAAGATAATTAAGACAGCTGGGCAGTGGTGGCACATCCCTTTAATCCCAGCACTCGGTAGGCAGAGTCAGGTGGTTCTCTGTGAGTTTGAAGGCAGCCTGGGCCACAGAATGTGGTGATATTTTATTTGTGCTTTAATAAATAAAGTTTTCCTGGAGATCAAAGGAAATAGCAAGCCATTTTAGGTAAACACAAAAGCCAGGCAGTGGTAGCACACGGCCTTAATCCTATCACTTAGCGGGCAGGGTCTCTGTATATTCAAGGCCACACTGGGGAACAGAGCCAAGCTTGGTGACACACGCTCTTAATCCTAGTACCAACCATAGAAACCTGGAAGTCTGTACAGACAGGCAGTGACAAGGAAGTGAGGTAGCTGGGCTAAGAGCCAAAGAGAGGGCAGAACAGCAAGGCAATAAAGGCACAGGTAGACAGAAAGTAGCTCACATTTGGAAGCAGCAGAGTTGGTGAGTTAAGGTTGGCTGGTGGCTTCTCTAATCTCTAAGTCTTTCACTCCTATATTTGGCTCCATGTTTTTTATTTAATAAGACCATTTAGAAATTCGTCTACAATAGAGCAAGTTCCAGGACAGGCACCAGAAAGCTACACAGAGAAACGCTGTCTCAGAAAGAAAAAGAAAAAAGATAATTAAGACATGTAGGTTAGTAGTTAGTCATCTATAACAATCAAATTTGTGGCCATGTTAGGTATGTTTTTAAGGTCAAATGGAGATGTATATGAAATAGACAGGTGGTTTTCAAACACTTCAGAGATCTAGAGAATATGACATTTAAGATGTTTCAATAACATAAGGCTTTTTATGACAATGAGACACATCTGCTCCTGGCAGCACCAATATACTTCAGAGAAGATGATGGACATCAAAGCACCTCCATATGGAGTTTGCTTTAATTGTGGCAAAGTTAGCCACTGGACAAGAAACTGCCCTTGCCTCGACTGCTGACAATGTGCTGTACAAATTGAACAAGCAAGACACAAAAGAAAGTAACTGCCAAACTTTGCCAAGACAAGGCAGGACAGCCCTTCAAAATTCCTGCTTCACAGAAAAGTCTGTCAGATATTCTAGGCACATAGGCCAAAGACAGATTCCCCAACCTTGCAGGGGAACCTTGGGTGACTATCCAGGCAGCCCGCTGTTCCTGTCATTTCTATAGTTTTGGAAGTTGCTTGCACTGCACTTTCTGTTTGTGGGTGACATTATATCCTTCTCAGGTCTCTGATGGAGTTGAAGACTAGATAGTTATAGTTACAGTTTTCCTTGTTACCAAATTCAGAAAAGAAACTTACAAAAGAGGTATAAAGTATATAAGGTTGAAAGACATAAAAGTCTAGATTGTTTATCTAAGAAAAAATTTTGAGGCCTAAAAAAGATAGTTTTGGGTTGGTAATACAAGTCAGGATAGAAAGTGAATTAGGTACAAAACTTTGGACTCACTAAGATACAATAGCTAAAACAGTACTTTCTCTGATTTGCCAAATACAAATGGACTGGATATTGTAAATGTAATTCTTACCTGGTAATTGTTCTTATTGTACATAGTTTTACTATGTTAGAGTTAAAACCCTTCCTTTTTACTTAGACAATACCTGATAATTGTCCTCATTGTATATAGTTTTACTGTGTTAGAGTTAAAAGCTTTCTCTTTTATTTAGACAAAAATGGGGAAATGTTGCAAAATTGTTTACACTGTGAAGACGAGTCTTTACCAAGGCACCTTCTGATTATTTTAATAAAGAGCTGAATGGCCAATAGCTAGGCAGGAAGAGGTTAGGTGGGACTTCCAGGGACAGGGAAAACTCTGGGAAGAAGAAAAGCAGAGTCGACAGCCAGTGCAGAGGAAGGAAGATGGACAAGACAGATGAGGTATTGAGCCACACACCTGAATGTAGATTTAAAAACATGGGTTCATTTACGTTATAAGAACTAGTTAGGAACAAATCTAAGCTAAGGCCGAGCTTTCATAATTAATAAGAAGTCTCCCTGTCATTATTTGTGAACTGGTGGCCCAAAGGAAAATCCATCTACACTCTTTAAGCAGGAGGGTAAACAACTCAAAATAGCTTCAGGAAGTCCCTGAAACTGACCAAATTGACTAGGCCCTCCCTGTCTGAGTAAGCAATAAAGACTGATGAGAGTTGCGCTCAGACTAGCCAAGTGGCAAAGATGGTAGACCAGACCAGACACTTGGAAGAAGAACCAGCTGGGCTGTCTGGAAGAGGTTTACACCACTGTCACCTGGAAAGGACATTCTCCAACCTGCTGAGCTGCCTACTGGCTGTACAGAGTGCTCTAGGTTTCCCAGCTCTGTGAGCTGTCACCCATGCTGATGTGGACCTTGGCAATGCAGTTATCTTTGAGTCATTTCTGTGCCTGTAAGGAACCCTCACCTGAACATTTGTAAGTAACCTGAATAAAACGCATTGGTTCACCAAGCTGGACTGTGGTGGTATCCATACTTTGGTCTGTCATGGGATCCCAAGTTGGGGTGAAGAGATGTGTGTGTTGCATCTCCCCACAAAAGTTTGGTCACACAACATGTGGGAAACTACAACCTTGGTCACCTCATTGTGAGCTCTAACTTTCCTAGTTAAACTCTTAAATTTCACTGGGCAGACAGAACAGCCACCATCCCCAGAGCTTCCCTACAGCTATTCCAAACAAAATCAGGATTGGTTTCTTCCTCTGAACAGTAAAAGAGGAGGCTGAAGGGGTGTGGGGCTGCCAAATGCCCTGTTGCAGAGAGAAACAGGCTAGTCGATGGCTTTGACGGCCATCAACACTGAGTGGCATGGTTTGAATAACAGAAAAGGCTATGACTTGCTGGGCGGTGGTGGCACACCCCTTCCATCCCAGCACTCAGGAGGCAGAGGCAGGCAGATCTCTGTGAGTTCAAGGCCAGCCTGGTCTACAGAGTGAGTTCCAGGATAGCCAGGACTACACAGAGAAACCCTGTCTTGAGGGAAAAAAAAGAAAAGGAAAGGCTGTGACTGGTCCAGAGCAAACTGAACTGTGGATATGTTGGCTATTCTAGTAAAAGAAAAGGAAATTGAGACTCTTGGCTTTGGACCTGAGGGATGGTGTGGATAGTTGTGCTCTTTAATGAAACAGAGAAGAGCTTGTTCGTCACAGGGTATTTGGCACAGATGTCAAAAGAGGTCCACAAGGCAGGCCATAGCTAGGGCTGTCCCTCATATCTATCCCAAGGCCTCTTCCTCTCTACCACACTACCCTGCCTCAGTGGCTAGTGAAAGCGCCAGCAGGCACCTGAGGAAAGAACAGGGTAAAGGCAGGACACACATACACACACCCCAAGGCCTGGTCCATCAGGCAGCCCCCACTCTGTGTTGTCTCTCTCTTTTGTTTCTGCATCCTGTGGGCACAATACACAGATGCTCTTGTGAGGCTTCACTGTACGTACACATAGCTTGGTAGGCTGTACCTTCTACTATGTCAACCTGCCTCAGAGTGACCATTACCAAGGGACTAAGGGAGACAGATAAGAGTCCAGCACATAGTAGGCAAGGAGGAACACCAAGACTTCCTAAGCCAAGAGTGGACTTGTGTCCACTCCCACTTCCCAGAGAGATGTGGACAGACATGTAGCCCTGAAGGAGGAAATCAGAGTAATTGTCACCTCCATAAAGTAGGTGTTACAGAGAAGTAGGAAACAGCCTCATTCGAGGAACCGCAGGACACCAGTCACCATGTCATACTTAAACAGGTGTAGATAACGTCTTTGTGGAGGAGGTACACTAGCACCACAGACAGTTCTTCCTAAGCAGAAGGACCCACACCAGGGTAGATAGCTTGTCCAGTGAAGAAGTGACCACAGTGGGTGTAGACAGCTTATTCAGTGAGGAATTGCCCAAAGCGGGTGTGTAAATAGCTTGACGTGCACACAGGCGTGTAGACAGCTTAGGGGTATAGACAGTTTATTCAGTGAGGAGGTGTATGCAGCAGTTGTACACAGCTACAGCAGGGCACATGCGTGTGTGCAAAGGAGAGGGGTTAATGTGGGGTATCCCCCCTCAATTGCTCTCTATGGGTTTTATTTTTTGAGTCAAGGTCTCTCACTGAACCTTGTCTAAGTAGCCGGGCTGGCTAGCCAGTGAGCTTCAGGAATCCACCCGGAGTTTGAGGTTTTTGTCGTTTGTTTTTCCTTAGTGATAAGCAGTGTCCTTGGACTTGTGTACTAATGATGGATTCATTATAAAGGAAAGCTGCTGATGCAGGAGGATGCTGTGGTGCCAGGTCTAGATAGGAGACTCGGTATTTGGGAAATCCTGCTCCGGCGGAACAGAGGCCAAGCCCAGGCTGCTTGTGCGGCTTGGGTCGTAGATTAACTGGGAAAGCCAAAGACTTTGTCTTGATTGTTCTTTCTCAGGATGGGTGCATGTGGTATTCTGAATGTAATTGGCCCCCATAAGCTCATAGGGAGTGGCACTAGTAGGAGGTGTGGCTTTGTTGGACTGGGTATGGCCTTGTTGGAGGAAGTGTGTCACTGTGGGAGTAGGCTTTGAGGTCTTATATATGCTCAAGCCATACCCAGTGTCTCAGACCACTTTATATTGCCTGTGGGTCAAGATAAAGGACTCTCAGCTCCTTCTCCAGCACCATGTCTGCCTGCCTGCCGCCATGTCTCACCGTGATGATGATGGACTAAACCTCTGAAAACGTAAGCCACCCCAATTAAATGTTTTTCCTTTATAAGAGTTGCCGTGGTCATGGTGTCTCTTCACAGCAATAGAAACCCTGACTCAGACAGCATGATAGGTGCTGGTCAGCCATGAGAAGAATGGGTTTTCAATGGTTATCCAAGGACATCCTAGGAGCCCTCGCTACAGAAATGTCAGGGAATGGGATGGAGGCTGGGAAAGAATGACCAAGAGAACTGTTACTTGCCTCCGTGAGCCTGTTCCACCTCCCAGAACCTGCCTGGCACTCAGCAACCCTACCCTTCCCTCTGCTTCAATTGTATGGTCACAGTATCTTCCCTTACTCTGACTTCTCTCTTGCTGTTTTGTGATTCTTTTGATGTGGAAGTGTACAGCTTTCATAGCTGTAACACAGCCTAAACATATTGTACTGGTTATGTTTCTTGTTGATGTGGCCACGTAGGAGATGAAGGGTGTATCCTGACTAATGACATTAGGAGTACAGTCCGTCATGGATACAAAGACAAGTCAGCCAGAAAGGCTTACAGGTGTGGCAACAGGAATATGAAAGATCAGCAAGCAGAGAAAAGGGACACCAGCACGGCTTTCATCTTATTCCCTTCGTTCGGTCCAGGCCAGCAGCCCAGATACTGCCCACAGTCAAGGCAGCTCATCTCCCCTCCGTTAATCTCCTCTGGAAATGCCTTCACAGACACACCCCAAGTTATGCTCTCGTTCATGCTTTAAGCGCTTCGTTTGTTTGTTGTGTTTTTTGTTGTTGTTTTGTGGTTTGTTTTTTTTTTTCGAGATAGAGTCTCTCTGTGTAGCCCTGGTTGTCCTGACACTCGCTTTGTAGACCAGGCTGGCCTCAAACTCAGAGATCCTCCTACCTTTGCCTCCCAAGTGCTAGAATTAAAGGAATGCACCACCATGCCCAGCTCCTTAAGTGCTTCTTAGTTTAATCAAGTTAAAACCTGAAATTAGCTACCACAGTCTACATCAACTTGACCCCAAACACGTCACTTCAAACCGTAACACTGCATCCATGACTCTTGAAGTATCATGATCACTTCGATATGGGTGTATCTGCAAGCTCTACTACCAGCAGAGAAAGGCACCTCTCGAGAGGCAAGAAGGAAACTCGGTTCAGGATGACTTACTTAGACGGACAGGTTCAAACTTCTGTAATGTGACCCTGAGCAATTTATTGTAAGCATATTTAAGCACAGTACAATCTGGGGGGAGGGGGGAAGTTTCCTGGTGTAATACAACCCCTGCTGCACAAGGAGACATAATTACATTGAAACTCAACTCAAAGTACATGTCACTTCTTCCAAGAAGATGGGTTCTAGAGATAGGCTACATGTATTAGCTTAAGGGCCTAAGGAAGGATCTGATATGGTCTTGGTCACCCAGATAGCATTGGGCTATTAGCCACCTTCAGTCCTGGTTGTGGGACCTCGAGGGAACCCTTGGCCATACAAATAATACAAAAATCACCCAGACTAACAGCCACCTCTGGTCCTGCTTGTGGGAGCTTGATATGGCCTGGCCCTTCAGATAACACAGATTACCACACTATTAATCATCTCCAATTTCTAGCCTTCTGGGTGGAAAAACAGGTTATACATCTTTTTCTTTGAAAAGACAAAACTGCATGCTTACTTAACATTCCTGGTTTCCCTAGTGATCTCTGGGCCCAAGGACCTTTGCGCTCCCAACATTTCATAATGCAAAATGCTTTTAGTCCATTTCTAAGAGACACCAAATCTGAGAAGCAGCCACTGTTTAAAATCTAGAGTCTCCCCAGCTCACTTCCCTTGGCAGTCACTTTCCAACAAGGTACCCGAGGCCTCATCTTTAGGATTTTCTGTTTATTACTATTGTGTGTGTACATATGTGCACACACAAGCACACATGTTAAGAACTGTGTGTGGAGGTCTGAGGACAACTTTGAGGGGTTTGTTCTCCTAACTTTTCATTGTATTGGGGATCAATTTCAAGTCATCAGGTTTGGCAGCCCCATCCTGCCAACTCCGTGAGGTTCCACCTTGTAAGGAACCCTTCTTTCAAATGAATCTGTGCTGCTATACCCTGAATAGCTCCATGAAACTCCCCATCCAACTGGCTTTTATGTTTTGGGGTGCTGAACCCGAAGAGGTTCTTAGTCCCCACTGTGACAGTAACCCTCTGCCATCCTTGTGAAGTGTTGATGATACGTTCTCTTGTGCTCCCTCCTAACACTGGTATGATTTGGCTTTTCTGTTTTAAACCACGTCAGCTAATTTTCCTGCACGATTTAAGGGAGGTACTACTTGTTTTTATTAAAGCATCGAATTGCCACAACACCATTTATGGGAAGGACTGTCATTCCTGGGCTCAGCCTTCCTTTCAGGTAAGTGTGAGGCATAGACTCACAGAAAGGCAAATATCCCCACACTCGATTTTCACTGGGAAATGCCTTACTCTTCTTGAGCCTTGATTCACCCTTATAGATTTTATAAACATCCTGTCAAGTTAAACATATACACACAGTGGGCTCTTCGCAGAAATTACATACTATCAATAGATAATCAGAGGCAAATATAAATCCTTGTGATTTTGAGCTTCTAATACCACAGCAATGTGTATCTCTGTTGGGTAGGGCCATTCTTAGCGCATTTCAGTAAAATCTTTCACTTTTTAATGAAAATTCTACACATTGATGCTGCTTCTTTCTGAGATGTTCTATCTGTTTTCATGCTATAATAGGATTAGTTACTTATTTCTCTGCTGTGATTAGA